ATAAATAATGTGTCACCAAATTCAGGTTCCTTTAGACTCTATTCCAGGTTTCTGCCTTTAGGACTGTTTTAATTTACCTTGCTGATGAATTTTTGACACTGGAAGTGTAAGCCAAATAAACCCTTTCCTCCCTTAAATTACTTTTGATAATGGTGATTATTATAATAACATAAAAGCAAACTAGGGCACTGCTTTAATTCAATTTATTCTGTAATCCATTTCTAGGTACATTACTGATTGCTTAATATTTCTAAATTTCAAAATCTTATGCAAATTGGCAAATGAATAGAGTAATGCATTTAAGCAAATGATTGATTATTCCTAAATAAAGCTTTTAAATCACTTTGGCTGACATTACAGTTTGCTGAGCCATGTATTCAAAAGATCACATGCTGTTTCAGGTAAGATTATCTAATAAATGCAACCTCTGCATAACCCTTCTGTTTTAAATAATTTATATAAGATCAATTAGATATTATAGAAATACCACTAACATCCATAAATCAGAAGAAATTACCAGATGAAGAATAAATTAAAAAGTTAAGAGATATAATTTTTAAACACTGCTTTAAATGGCATACTTGTAAAAATTAGTGTCAAACTAAAATGACAAATAGTTCATCTATTATCAGAATTTCTAATTTTTTTGAAATGTGAGCCAAGTTCTATGTTTTATATGAGGAAAACATTTGTATGGAACACCTGGTGAATATAACTTCAAACATTAGAGTTTTAAATGTTTCTCTGAGACAGAAGGAAAAATATGGTCATCACCAAGAAAAGACTCAATATTGGGCATCCATTCACCAGAATTTTAAATAGCTACACATCTATTACTTCCAACAAATTATGCAGTTAAGACCCTTTGGGGTTAATTAGGTAGCAAAGGAAGCCATGGTTCTGCCACTCATATATTACAATAAATTTTGCAGTCTGCCTGCGGCATTAGTACAGAGAAACAAAGTATACAGAAACAGCCCACTGCTTCTTTATTAACCTAATACTAGCATCCAAAGCAATCACCTTTCAGAAATCCACTGTATCTTTGACTTTAAATAAGATTTCTATACAAAAGGAACTATCAGTTCACATATCAACTTCAAATTTAAAATATTCCTTTGTAACATATAATATTAGTCTACCTACATAGAAATTTAAATTGTTAAAGTGCAGATCCCTGTGTTCCTAAGTGTTCCTAACATTCCATGGATCAGAGCCCAGAAATGTTTAGTTGTAGTAAACTTTATCTTGTGTGAGTCTAGTGTATGCAAAAGCTAACTGAGCTTGAGCCAGTGGAAGGCAAACTACTAATCTAAAATACATAATAAATTTGATAAGAAACACTAGATACATGTGCAATCAAAATGTCTATCCAAGACATGGCACCAAGACCCAGGACAGTGGCATAGCAAGGGAACTTCTCAGAAATTAAGAGCTTTGGACTCATCTCAACCTTGCTGAACCAAAATTTCTATCTCAACAAGTGCCTCAGAAGATTTCGATTTTCATTAATGCTTGAGATCCACCGGTCTAGAGCAGCTATTTTAGGTGCAAATTTTCCTAGGGTACGATTTTACTGATATCAAAGACCAAGGATTAGTGTGAATTTTGTGGCCAATAACTGGCATACATGTTGTAGCAATACAAGAAAAGTCAAGTACCTGTTGAAAAATGGGAGGAGGATTCTGAGTACATTTTGGTTCATTTAAAACATTCATGGTGATACCATTTTTGTTTTATTTTAACAAGTATTGCATTAATAATGGAGGACAGAAGCTACTCAAAATGAACAAACCAGGAATAGGGAATGTTACACAGAGAAGTTTCATAGACAGCAATGGCTTCTGAGTTAATATAGTATATAATTAAAACATACTAAAGATATAAATGAAAACCAAGATGTTACTTGTTAATTCAGCATCATCTAAAAATGATACCATCCCATGTATCCACAAACTTGAGGTAAGGATATATTATGACATTTAATAAAATATTTGCTTTAAAAAAAACAGCTAGAATATAGGTAACAAAGAGACAGCCCCGATGAACAACTTCTTTTTTTAAAGTAAGTGTGGTTGCTACACCTGATGTTATTGCATCGGAGAAAACTGGCATTCCCTTTCCCAGTAGGTATCAACTACAACTAGCTTCTTGGTTATAGATGGGACTTTGTGTCCACTTCCCCTTCTCTGTGCTAGATTTTGTCTGGTTTGATTTTGGAAGGTCCTGTTTATGCTGTCAGTCTATGAGAGACCATTTTGCATCCATTCTGGAGGACACTGTTTCCTTGGAATCATCCATCACCTCTGTTCTTACAATCTTTCCAACTCTTCCACATAGATTCCTGAGCCTTGAAGGTAGGTGTTTGATAAAGATACCACTCAGGGCTGAGTGCTCCAGAGTCTCTCACTGCTAGCACCTTGTCTAGTTGTGGACTTCTGTGTTAACTATCTATTGCAAGAAAAGCTTCACTCATTAGGGTTTTTATGTGTATAGCAATATGCCATTTTAATGCCATGATCCTTTATTAGAAGGATTAGCGGCTTTTCTACTAATGCTTATGTCATACCTAGTCTCCAGTTCTTGGCCACTTTAGCAGGTAAGGATTCCATTGAATGGATCAGGCCTTAAACCCAATCAAAAAATGGCTGGTTGCTCCCATAACATTTTTATGTCTTTCAGGCAGGTCACTGTTGCAGGTAGCAGAGTTTGTAGCTAAATGACATTGATGAATACTTTCCAAGCATCATGAATGCTAATTTGTAGGGAGGAAGCATCTAGTTAGGAGTTTGATGGGGATGTCTTCTGTATATGTTTGTCTTATTGGTTGATGAATAAAACACTGTTGGCCAACAGGGAAGCAAGATAGGTGGGACTAGTAGATAAGGAGGATTCTGAGAAATGTAGGCAGAGGAGTCACGATATAGGACACGAGAGGAGTAATAGGTCCAGACTCATTCTCCAGTAAGAGAAGACCATGTAGATATACATAGATTAATAGTTATGGGTTACTAATTAAGACAGAGCTACTCAATAAGAAGTCCTAGTCACCTGTAAACAGTATTCACAACTAATATAATGTTCGAGTGTTTATTTAGGGCTGAGAAGGTTGCGGAACTGGGCTGGAAATCACATAACAGGAGTCAGCTCAAATCTCTTCATGTTTGATGACATAAGTAAGTGGTCTTCAGTAAATAGAATCTCACGATCAGGGTGTAGGGTGCAATAACTTTGGTAATAACCTGTGATGTTTGGAGGGGTCCATGGGACCTCTTTGGCCAACAAGTCAACAAAATGTAACCCATACCTTGTGTTTGAAGTTTTACTTGATGGCATAAGATGTCTAGGTGAGGCACTGTGTACTCATTTAAATTCTTCTCATATATGTATTCTTTTCATGTATTTTTAGGAAATCTCTATAGTAGATTTCCATATGGTTTTTATAAAGCCTTTAGTGTCCATTGTCCCTTCCCATATTCTTTAATTTATCCTGCACTTCTATCCTCCTCCTCACTTAATCTTCCTATTCTAGTTTCTCCTTTATCCCTTTATAATATTCTATTCTATTTATCCTTTCATGGAAGATCTGCTCCTCTTCCTGGTCCCACACTAGTTACCTAACCCTTGTTACTGTTCTAATCAAAACACACATATCTTAAGCTTAAAAGTTAACATCTGCATGTAAGTTAAATCAGTCAATATTTATCTCTTAAGGGTCTACATTACCTAACTCAGGAAGATTGTTTCTAGCTCTACCCATTTACTAAAAATTTCATTTTTCTTAACATCTAAATAATGTTGTATAAATTTCCCATGGTTTTGTTGTCCATTTATCAACTGATGGACATGTAGGCTGTTTCTAATTTCTGCCTATTATGAATAAAGAATCAATGAATTATCTACTATAGAGTCCTAAGGATGGCAAAGATGGATACTGTGGTAGATAAATTTATATATATTTTAAGGAAATTCCTCACTGATTTTGAGAATGATTCTACCAGTTTCCCCTCTCACCAGCAATGAATAAATGCTCCCCTTTCCCTCCTTCCTGCATCCTGTGTTTCAACACCATAGCAATGTCTATAACCAAGGAAACAATAATCCTAATTTACAGAGGCATAATATATGCTTTTGAAATGTGTAACTCTAAGTTGCAATGCTATTTATCCATATATTTCTGGATGCTATTCAAGACATAATAAATTAGCCACAGTCTTGTGTGAGAAATAATGCTAAAGACCAGAAATTTATCAGTGCAATCTTTAAAATACATTGTTTTATGAAAAGCAATACAGCTTACATATTAAACAACACTTCTCCAAAACCACTTTTAAACAGAGGAAAAAGGGCAAATTTGGGGGAGTTATAAATCTACACCCTCAGAACAAAATTAATTTTTTATATAGAGAAGTCTGGGAATTCTGTTGAAAAGTTCTTTTTATAAAATATAATGCAAGCATAAAATTTCAAATTTAGTATCACATCTCCTGTATCACTCTGATTATTTCGTTAACCCAAACTAGAACTCACAGCAATACTTTTTGGCATTTTATCATATGTCCAAATAATACATTAATTCCTTCCCCTTTTATTTTTCTTATTTTATTCTCTTCCTTTTTTATCTTGAAATTTTGTTGTAGTTGGGGGTGTGCAGGGGTGAAGGGCAGGTACAAAGAGACAGGGAGTGAATGGAATCAAGATACATGATTTTTAAAAGCACACAGAAAAAATTAATAAAATTCTCCCATTCAATAAAACAGAAAAACACTCCATTTCAAATTCATCAGAACTCTCTACCTCATATTTTTAGCCACTTAGTTATATGCACTTAGGTCTAATAAATTCTTATGCATTACCTTGCTTCTTTTCCATCATCTTTCTTTTCTGTTGCCACTCTCCTTTATTACTTTAAGCTTAGACTAAGTGAGTCCCCTGTCTTTGTCCTCAAACTAAAAACAAAAACAAAAAATCAAAACAACAACAACAAAAACACTACAAACTGGGAAGTCAAGCAGCAGAGATTTATTTTTATTTTTCACAGTTCTGACTGGGATCAGAATGCTGGTGAGTTGATCTCTTGGTGGGGTCTTCCTGGCTAGGAGACAGGTGCCTTCATGTCCTGTTGCACTAAAATGAAGAGAGCTCTGGTTTCTCCTCTTCTTATAAGACAGTTTACCAAACAAATGACCCAACTTACGATCTCAACCTTTAACCTACCAGTGACCTCAACTCCAAATATAGACACATATACGTTTAGGGCTTCAGTATATAAGGTGGTAAAGGGAGAGAAACCCCGTCTATAACAGTATCCTATCACTTTATAACCATATCTCTGCCTCCTGTAATAAACTCTACTGTCTGTAGCCCAACTGAAGTTCCTGAGAGAATCATTCTATCTTCACTGTTGATAGTCTTCCAAGGACAGATCTCCAGTACCTAAATTATATAGAACAACCATTTTACCTGCTCAACACAAACCACTATCTAAGATTTCAATCAAGTCAAATATTTAGATTAGCAGATCTGATTTGAATATGCTAAAACTTTTTAAAAATAATGATAAAGATAGTTCTGCTGCTTAATTAGGTTAAAGTGCCAATCTCAAATTCTAGCTTATATTTACATTTCTGCAATTTTTGTCTGAGAAAAATTTCTAATTAATGGCTCAGGGTGACATTCAGAGATAGAGCACTTGCCTTATATGAACCTGGGTTCAATCTCAGAATAGTAAAAGAAAGGAATAAGTCTAACACATGAAGAGGGTATCACCTTCCTATATAAACTATTTACTAATATATGTACTGGGTCTGAGATATCAAACTATATGGATTTATGTTACCTGTTAGAGGAAATGGGTGTTACCAATATATTGACATTATATCTATCACCAATACAAGTCATATTATGTTGCTGGAGGTTTCTTGTCCCTCCAGGTTCCACCACTTCAGTCCCAAATGAACACACAAAGACACTATATTAATTTTAAAACTGTTGACCAATGGCTAGGCTTCTTACTGGATAGCTCTCTCTTAATTATTAACCCATTTCTATTAATCTATGTATTTCCACGTGGTCTTGGCATACCAGAGAATGCCTGGACCTGTTATCACTTTGGCAGCTACATGGTGTCTCTCTGCTTGCCTTTCCCAGAATTCTCCCTGTTTCCTTGTCCTACCTATCTTCCTGCCTCTATTGGCCAAAAAGTGATTTATTCATCAACCAATAAGAGAAGCATATATACAGAAGGACACCTCCCATCAATATCATAAGCTAATAATACATCTGACATATTCTGGAAAGGAATACTAATTCTTCAAGCCAACTACTACATATCATCAATGGACCATCAATTAAATCAAAAGGGACCCTTAGTCACTTGCCAGGTAGGTATAACTGAATTTTTAAAAATTAAAAGCATTTTAAATCTTCCTGAACCCAGCATGTGGCTGAAGTGCTCTTGTATAACAGCAGAATCGATTTCAATAAATCAAGATGCTTTTCCAAATATGTGGAATATATAGACCACCGTGGTAGCTATTTCAGAAGATAATATTAAAGAGCTTAATATTTAGTTACTGCCTAATTTTTAAATAGATAAATGATATTAAAGAAGTAAAATCCAATTTATAAAGCTATTCAACTTGGCACATGACCAATGAAGTCAAAGGCTTAATCTATATATAAATTGATTGGTATGGTCTGTTCTTGAAATAAATGTGGAATTCTAGAATGGTCTTGAGTTCAAGGAAGGCATTTATAAAAATTCACTTGCTGGGGAATAGGGAGATAGATGGCTCAGTGGGTAAGTACTTCCTGTAAAGGCATAATCACTTGAGTTCAGAACCCACATTTACAAAAAGGGTTTGGTGTAATAGTGAACACATGTAACCCTAGTACAGGGAATGAATGGGGTTGTACCTAGAAGTACCATAGGGCTGGCTAGCCAGCTCATCTACCCAAATCCCCAAACTCCAGAGTCATTGAGAGACCTTGATTTAAAAAACAAAACGGAGAGCAACTGAGAAAGACCTTAGATGTTGACCTCTGGCTTATACATGCTTATTATACTTATACATAAGTAAACACAAACACACATAATTCCTGTTGAATACTAATGAAAATAATAGAGGATAATCATCTTTGAACATGAAAGAAAGCATTACCATTTATTCCTCTGATGTGAACAAATTTAAAATGAATATGCATATAGATTTTTCCACACTAAAATTTAAGGAAAGTAATAATGCCTGATTAATCTCTTAAATCAGTTCCTGAGAGAAAGGAGAACAAGGGTAGATCAATGCATGAAAAGCTAATTACTGTATGATATAGGGAATGCTGAAGCAGGGCATGTGAGTCCCTGATGAATGAAGTAGGTATCCTAAGTCAAGATGGATCATGGCTGTAAAGTGGACTTGGTTATGTAGCCAAAATGCATAAAAAAATGATCAGAATCTCCTCTCCTTCCTCTACCCCACCCTTCCTCTGTCCCTCCTCCCCCAATCTATCTATCTATCTCTCTCTCTCTCTCTCCCTCTCCTACACACACACACACACACACACACACACACACACACACACACACATATATATATATTTAGATAAAATGATTAATTCTTGGTAATAATCCAGGATCCCCAAAGCATACTGACTCAGCATTTCCTTCTGGCCCATCTCCATTCCTTTGTGTCATCCACAATCCCACAGAAACACTTTCTATCAATGTCTACACTGGCTGAGACATAGGTACTTAACCTCCACTATCTTCCCAGTTCTCCATTTTGTTTCTACAATTATTCCTAGTCCTGATGCATCATGCCTGCTGGAGCTCCTCTTCCCATCCTACCTTCATTCCTGAGCCTCCACCTCTTGGTGCTTAAGAGATTCTCCTAGATGTGCTCCACTGCCCTCTCAGCCTTCCCTCCTAGCCTATCTCCATTCCTTTGGGTCACCCACCAACACACAGAAAGAGTCTCTACCAGGGATCCACAGTCACTGCACATGCCTAGGATCCAGAGTGGCCAACAGCAAACAAAGAACAGAACACCCACCAAACAAAGAAATAAACGCACAATCAAACAACTCAAACATCATAACCACAGATGCCTAAATCACAACACAAAAAAATTCAATTATGAACAGGCAAGATAATAAGCTTCCTCTACAAGGAATAGGCCCGTAGAAATGAAATGTAACTGAAACAAAAGACAAGGACTTCAAAATCACTGCTATGAACATGTTTATGGACATGAAAGAGAATATGAATCATCTTAATGAAGACAGTGAAAACACAGAACAGTTGAGTGAAATAATGAAAACATTTCAATACATAACAAAGAAATAGAATCACTAATTGTAGGAGTGGTCTAGTGGTTAGGATTCGGTGCTCTCACCGCCACGGCCCGGGTTCGATTCCCGGCCAATGCACCAAACTGTAGGCTTCAACGGACGCTGTAACGATAAGCGACACTTACTGGAAGTAAAACTAAGTATTTATTGTAGAAATTACTCACAAGATACCAAACAAGTAACCCAGACGAGACAATCAGTTTTCCCGCTGCCGAACCGGAAGCCGAACTCTGGGAAAAGAGACCGAGACTTTCTGTGTGCTGTCTTTTATACCTTCCCCCGTAACGCCCCCTAGCCATGCCCAAAAGTGGGCCTGGCTAGTGACGTAGTTCCGCCTATGTACGTATACGTCTTTACGTCCAGCCGTATACGTCTTTAGTCCTGCCTAAAGTGGGTGTGGTTAGCAGTGTGGTAAACCGCCCTTTTATTACCTCATCTGTATGCGCCTCTAATAAGTCACATGTTTAATGGTGGCATACAAACTTCCTCCTACAATTCCCCTTTTAGTCTAAAAAGGACAACTAACTTGTGTCCATGAACAAAATGTATCAAACATCTATTCTATCTAAACCTAAACTTATCTGAAAGAAACACCCAAATATGAACACCTCCTTCCAATCCCAACTACAGCGTCCGTTGAAGCCTACAACTAATGAAAAACTAAAATGAAATAAAACTGGAAATGAAAAACTCAAGACGTCAAGAGAGAACTGAAGATCTTGAGGACACAGTAGAAGAAATGGATAGCTCAGTCAATTAAGATGTAACAGATACAGGATATCACCTAAACGTAGAAGGACTGGCTGGGCAAGTGAGAACAAAGTTTGATGAGTAGATTTTCCAAATTCAAAGCTCTAGCTGACGGGTATGGCAGACGGGAAGGTTCACTGCAAAGCAGGAGTGATCCTGCTGCAGAAGGAAGTAGGCATGCCTGGGGCTGCAGTAGGGAAAGCACATCCAGCTGTAGATACCAGTACCAGTCACCCCTATGAGAGCACCCAGGGAAAAGACTGTGTCCCTATGTGAGTCTCAATGTTATGCCTTCTTTTGTGAAATAGTGGCTTTGTTGATATAGCAACCTAAATATCTTCATCTTGTAAATGAACTAAGAAGCCTCTACTACCCTCTATACGTAAAGAACATTAGCTGTTCAAAACTTCTTTGTTTACAGGAATTTTAAAATGAGATAGGTTCTAATATGGTATGAAGGACAGTCACAACAATGAGAGACTTGTGCAATAAATCACATGAATTAGCTTCCCACCCCATTCCTTTTCTATTTTATAGTTGGTTATTTTCTTCACTGTACTTAACACAATCCAAAATCATCTTAAACTGTACTTGTTGCCTTAACCTAGAAAACTTTATGCTGACCTTTATTTCTATGTAAATTCTATGAAATAGAGCTTGTCATTCTTGACTTTCCACAATCTAAGTACCTTAGAAAATTTCTCCTATTAGTCAGTAAATGTTTGCGGATGAAATGAATGAGGACTGTGTTGAAAACTCCTCATTAAAGTGCAGGATAACAGTAACTTTCATATGTCAGAACTATAATAGAGTGAGAGAGATTTCTGTTTCTACCAATATCTGATATGTAATCAAATATTAGACATGTTAAGGATTAAGAGTTGAGTTCACAATTAAGAAATATTTTCTAAGTCACAGAGCTGAGCAATAACTGATGAAACTACCTTAGTACTTATTAAATTATATTGTAGGATGGGAGGCAATATTTAAATTATAAGTTCATCTAAAGCAGTGATAAAAATCATATAAAGAATGTAATAAGCCCACTGAGAGTATAGACCAGTCGTAGAGTACTCCCCTAGCATGTATGAGGCCTCCAAGTTCACTCATGCGCTCTCTCTCTCTCTCTCTCTCTCTCTCTCTCTCTCTCTCTCTCTCTCTCTCTCTCTCTTCCTTCCTCCCTCTCTCTCTTCTCTCTCTCTCTCTCTCTCTCTCTCTCACACACACACACACACACACACACAGTGAGGGGTGGGGCGGGGATACAATGAGCGAGGCATGGAGGCATATACCTATAATCCCAGACTCTGGAGGATGAGGCTTGAGGACCTCCATGAATTCTAGGAATGCTGGGGGCTGACAGTGAGTTTCAACCCAACTAGGGCTCTAAGTTTCCCTCTCAGCTTGGTATGGGGAGGGGTGGGCACAGAGAGAAGAGATTTGAGGACTGAATAAAATGAAAGTAATCTTTCCTGTGTAAGAAAAAAGCTAACTAAGTGGCTATTCAGAGAAGTCAAGGCAGCAAAGAAAGAACCATACAAATTACAGAATTAGGAGTCAGGGAGACACAAGGTTCCCACAGCTTTTTTCAGTGATAACCCATTAACACAAAAGGCTGTAAATTGGAAGTCTAGTTAAATCCTGGCACTAAAAAACTTTAACAAGAAAACAAAACCAAAAGTGATTATATTTTTAAATAATAAAAGTTGGCATGGATAAATTCTCCTTTTAAGTGTTTCAATTTTTATCAGCAATCTACAGCATGAGGGTTCACTGAAACAGCAAGGTTATGTGACCAGAGGAAAGGCCGAAGGCCATACTGGGTGAGGTCTACTTTGAAATACTTGACAAAAGAATGGGAATCTCTGAGCATGGATGGTTTTCTGTGGAACTATGTAAAGAAAACCAGGAAAGCAGCATGGGAAAGGACTCACAAACTTACACCCTTGCAAAGGTCATTCTGAAAAGTCAGTCACTCATTCATTTGTGCTTGGGTGAAACTGCACTAAAATAAAAGCCCCAACAGTCTCCACTGAAATGCATTCTTGAAAATCTTGCAAACTAAATTCCAAATGCTAAAGACATCCACATAAAAAAAAACTTTCTATATTTAAAAGGTAGTTATGGAGTACAAACAACCATATAATGAATTATACTTTGATTTGATGAATGAATAAACAAAAGAGCTTGGTTTTATCTTTTTAAAATTCTATAATTCAATATTATAAGTTTAGAAGAGAGTATGCTATTTCTAACAACTCCAAAATATCTTTCAGAATACACTAAATAAAATGTTGTAAAATAAACAGCATCTTTCTATAAACTAATTAAAGCATTTTTTTTTTTTTGGTTTTACGAGACAGGGTTTCTCTGTTTTGGAGGCTGTCGGTCCAGCCTGGCCTCGAACTCATGGAGATCCGCCTGCCTCTGCCTCCCGAGTGCTGGGATTAAAGGCCACCAACACCCGGCCTGTTTTACCTTTTAAATTGTATTTTTTCCCAAGGAAATTTCCCCTTAACATTAATGGGACTGATCAAGACCCCCTGAATGTGGGTGTCAATGAGGAGGCCTAGGTAATCTATTGAGCCTTCGGATCAGTATTTATCCCAGGTATACAAATCGACTTTGGGCGCCCATCCAACAATGACAGATGCACTCTCACCCTGAACTCTTGGAGGAGGGTCTAGGCCCTGCCCTGGATGAAATCACAGACTATGGACACCCCCATGGAGGGCCTCACCCTCCCTGGGAAATGAGGGGATTTTGGAGGGGTTGGTGGGAGGGCATGGGAGGAGGGGAGGGAAAGGGAAAGGGACCTGGAATTGACATGTGAAGCAACCTTGTTTCTAATTTACATTTAAATTTAAAAATAAAAAAATAAAAAATAAAAAAGATAACAATGAAGCATTAGAAGAAAGCTAGGTTTTGTAAGTTGTATAACATCTTTACCAATGGGCTATTTAAAAATATTCTTGCAATTAGTCATAATAAAGAAGAGAGTGACAATAACTGAAACTATTGTTAAAGAAAAACAACGACATAAGGCAAGGCAAGATTAAGGTACATCACAAATGAAAAGTTTATTGCTATAAAAATAAGAGATACAATGTTTTGATAAAAGCCTTCATTCAAAGTCATTTCTATAAACATAAAGCATACTAAATGACCCCTGTTGGTATATATTGTAAGACATTGTATTTCACCAATATTTGAAATTGCTTACATAGCACATGTATTTTATTAAAAGTCAATACATTCCTTAGACACTACTTGTCCTGAGAACAGCTCACTTGCAAAACTGGCCCCAGCTGGCTTTGAAAATTCAACCAACAAAGTTTCTCTAAACTTAAACAAAATTTCCCCTAAAAAGAAAAGGATGGCCCACTGTGCCTTGCCTGTGCAAATACATGATCAGTATTAAATGTCTGCTTTATTCTTGGAATGTAGAATTTTGGAAGGTGCCAGGAAAAGGATTCCTTGACCAGCTTGCAGTGAGAACTTGGGGTGCTAAGTAAATGAGCTCCACTGATAATATAACACTTCACATTTGCTATCACAACTCACTGCTGGAAGAATGAAATGGTCCCTGTGGGACTCCACTCAGAGGACTCATTAATGCTTCTACCTGTTCTCTTGACTAATTTCTTTTTATGTCCTTTTGCTGTAATGAATCTCAGCCATGAGTGTAATTATATGCTGGATATTAATTATTAATCATTCTAACGTATCTCCAAGCATGAGGAAGGTATCCCTGATGGGGTTTGGCATTAATTTTTTGGCATTAATTTTTCAAATAATCTAGGTTCATTCATAACAATATTGGCATACTAAAAAAAAACAAAAAAAGTTTGATAAAGGCTGAAACAACTGATCTAAAATTCGAAGGAAATAAATGTAAAAGCTGTGTTGGTCAGTGTGACGTGACTATAGCAGATGGGGTGGGATGAAGTTTTATTTTGCATTACAGTATTGGTACATGGTCTACCAACCTTATTGTTTCAGGCCTGAGACAAGTCAAGACATCACAGAAAGCATGCATGTTTGAAGGAAGCTGCTAATCTCCTGATGTCTGGGAAGCACAGGAAAGGGGACAGGGTCTTATAATTACTTTCAAGAGGAATGCTTCCATAGACCTAAGAACTCCTACTACACCCAATTTCTC